GGTACCATGACTGGTTTCTTAATTTTGCTACTAAGGACATCTGTAACATAGATTATTTTATCCTTAGGTACCCATATCTTTTTGGGTCCTCTGGAGTTAGTTGGTCTGAAGTTCTGCCGGAACTTCTGTTCCTTAAAAACTTTTGTGTTCTGACGAGGTTTTGGTTTAATAAAGCCTTTTGTGATCAGATTTGTACGTGTGTGCTCTATGTCATTTAGGTGACCATATTTAAAATGAGTGTATAGAGGAGTATAGTTAATGATCAACTTATCAACAGGTTTTGGATTTAAATCCTTCCCAGATGGTGATTCATATCCAACTCCTTTTCTGTTATTCCTGCTAACACCATAGATCATGGAAGCCATTTTGCTTCTATCTAGGCCTCTGGACAAGAACCTCTGAAAACTATAGTCGTACTCTTCTAAAATATTTTTGGAGCAAGACATAGTATCTGAATCAGACTTTTGTTGAGCTTTTTCTAAATAAGTTTTTATTTGAAAATTATTTGCTTTTAGCTCAGCAATTTCTGATTTCATCTGATTAGTCTCAGATGCAAGATAGCTCTGAAGCTTCTTGTATTTGAGTATGATTTACTATAGTTTTCAACCATCTCAGATAAGCTTTCAACTAGCTCAACTCTGGTAAGTTCAGAAAATACCTCTTCTGAATCTTATTCTGATCCAGATTCAGATGATTCTTCATGGTCTTCTGTGTTAGCCATCAGTGCAACATTTGCACATTCGTCCTCAAAATCTGATGAGGCTTCAAAAGAATCTGAGTCATCCCACGTGGCCATCAGGACTTTCTTCTTTTTCTCAAACTTCTTTCTTGGTTTCCCCTTTTGAATTTTGGGACATTCACTTTTGTAGTGTCCTGGCTCCTTGCACTCAAAGCACACAACTTCTTTCTTGCCAGATCTTTTGTGTCCAGAAGACTTTCCATGTTGTTCTGGTCTTTTGAAGTTTATGAACTTCTTTTGCTTATGCTTCCAGAGTTGATTTATCCTTCTGGAAAGCAAAGACAGTTCATTTTCATCTGAGGAAGATTCTCCAGAGCTTTCCTCAAGTACCTGAAAAGCTTTCGTGTCAGATTTTTTATTAGATTTCAAAGCAATAGGCTTGCCTTTCTTCTGAGGCTCGTCTTCTTCCAGCTCTATCTCGTGACTCCTTAAGGGACTGATGAGTTCCTCCAGAGTGATCTTGTTAAGATCCTTTGATAGCTTCAGCGCTGTGACCATGGGTCTCCACTTCTTTGGTAGACTTTTGATGATCTTCTTCACATGATCAGAAATGGGGTATCCTTTGTCAAGGACCTTCAAACCAGCTGTCAGAATCTGGAATCTTGAAAACATGGTTTCCACAAACTCCTCTTCTTCCATCTTGAAGGCTTCATACTTCTGAATAAGCGCAAGAGCCTTTGTCTCCTTCACCAGAGAGTTTCCTTCATGTGTCATCTTTAATGACTCAAACATGTCAAACGCTGTTTCTCTATTTGTGATTTTCTCATACTCAGTATGAGATATAACGTTTAACATAATAGTTCTAGCTTTGTGATGATTTATGAAATCTCTCTTTTGTTGGTCAGTCATTGACTTTCTCTCAATCTTTTTGCCCTCACCATCAGTGGGCTGAATGTATCCATCAATGACCAAATCCCATAGATTAGCATCATAGCCTAGAAAGAAACTTTCTATTCTATCATTCCAATAATCAAATTTCTCTCCATCAAACATGGGAGGTTTGGTGCTGATTCTATCTTTATCATCATATTTGTTGCTTGAAGTTGAAGTTTCAGCCATACTAAATCAAGAGTTTTCCCAACTGGATCTTTCTCTGTCACTGTTAAGTGATAGCACTTTCAGAGCCAGAGCTCTGATACCAATTGAAGGTAGGAAAACACTTAGAAGGGAGGGGGGGGGGGGGTGAATAAGGAGTTTTCAAAAACAATTATGACAATAGAAAATAACAAGTTATTTTTATCCTGGTTCGTTTGAACTCAAACTACTCCAGTCCACCCGGCCAAGGTGATTTCGCCTCTCTCAAACGAGGACTTAATCCACTAAATCAAAACCTGATTACAGTGATATCACTAAGACAAACTGTCTTAGTCTTCTCAAGAATCCTGACCACAACTTGGTCTCTCAAGGAACTTTTACAAAGATAAAATACAATGTGTTTAAGTTGCTTCTAAAAAGCTATTATCACAACTGTGATTTTTACACAAAATGAAGAACAAATAAAACTTATGTTTGTTGAAGAAATTTGTTTGAATATGTTCTTGATTGCTTTGTGGAATTCTTCTTTTGAATTTCTTTGGAATTCTTGTATTTGAAGTGTTGATGGAGACTTCTTTATATACTACACTTTCTCAAAGTGTGTAGATGAAAGTACTGTAGGATGTAGACAGAAAGGATAAATACTTTTCGTCTTGATTTGACATTCCCTTTTTGCCTGAATTCCTATGCCATACACGAATGAGAAATAGTACCGTTGGTAGACATTGGGTTTGGCAACGTATCTTTCTTTGAACAGTATCTTTTCAAATGAACATATATGAAAAATAATCTTTGCATCAGATCCTCTGATGTTGTTCATTGTTCTTCTTTATCAGAGTCACTCTATCCAGAGTTTTGCAGCAAAGTGCTTAGCGTGAATGAATGATCAAAGTTGACTTGATTCTCAGAGCCTTTGTACTTGCAGCGTTTAGTTCTCACAGAGTCTTCTATAGGTAGCGCTTCAGAGTCTTCTGCAGCAAGCGCTTCAGAGTCTTCTTCAGCTGCACTTCCTACGCTCAGAGCTTTGCGTTACAATGTTCAAAGCTTTACTTTAAATAATGTTCAAAGGAATTCTTTTTGTCTTCAGATGAATATTTATTTGATATCTAAAACAAAAACACTTGAAAAAAATTTAGAGTATATATTTTCTTTATACAAAATTTCGATAATGTTATCATCAAAACATTGAGATATATTAATAACCAATCTGTGTTCTAACACTAAAAATAAAAGGTGGTCTCGGGGTTTAGCAAGGGACAAAAATATCTTTAATATTGATTTTCATCCCGTTCCATTAACGATTTTAAGATTTAACATATGACAACTAGAGCTGTACTGTCAAGTCCATTATTTTTAACAAATCAAACGCCACCCTAAATCTATATTTTAACATATATTTGACGATTTAAAAAATTAGAAAAAAACATAATAAATGATAATATAATACTTCAAACACAATTAATTGAATTTCATAAACATCTTATTATATTCTTTCTCTTTTGATCAAATCTTATTGTATTCTTAAACACTCATGCGTGTGAATTACAGTAATCATTGTGAGTGTCATTACGCATAGGGATAAAAAAAGTTAGGAATTTTTTAAATACACTCTATGAATTACTAGTAAACCTCATGAAAATACAATAACGTCTCCAGATTTCATAAATGCATCTCCGAACGCACCCAACTCAATACATTTCCCTAATTTTTAAATGGAAAATAAATTAAGGAAATGCAGGTCCGTATAACTTACATAGATGCATCTCCAGATGTTGTTTGTTCAAAAACATGCCAGAACCCTTTCTCATTCCTCAGTTCTAAAAAAACACTTTCAAGGTTCTCAAACTCTCTCAACTCACATTCTCTCAAAATCATCCAACCAACTTCAAAGTTTCTTCAACATCAAGTCCATCAAATAACTCATTCAACACTGAAGTAAACTCACAATTTACAAGTTATTTATTTTTCTAATTTTTTGAGTTTTTGTATAAATTTGTAAAAATTGATGATTAAGTTATGAAATAAATAATTTATACATCATGTTTGATAGTTTATACATAATGAGAAACATGTTTGATACATACTTTTATTGATCAATGCACTATTTTTGTTGTTTTAGGAGCCTACATTACCGCCATTGACGTTGGTGCGAGTTGTAGAAAATTTCAGAGATACATCTCCACAATTTTTCAATGTTTTGATTCTCAAAAATCAGAGATGTATCTCCGATATTTCAGTTTGCATTTTTTTGTACACATTGTGTAACACTTATGTGGTTTACTTACAAGCATTATGGAAGACAATGATGATTGAGACACAACAGGATTGCAAAACATGCATTTGTTCGGAGGGGAAAAAGTCAACCATCGCAGACTCCTATTACCTCTAGCATGGTTGATGCGAAGACGTTAGCTTCTGAGACTCATATATCTCCGTCTTCTTTTTACCATAGGAGACGAGTGTCACTTACTCATGCATACATTTCCATCTTCTTAAAGGCGACAAGTATCACCTTTTCAAACATTCGAGGCAGCAAAGGTACTCAACTCACCAAAGTTACCTTAGACACTAAAGGTATCTGAGGCACCTTAGACCCATGAAACAATAGACATATCTGAGGCACCCCAGACCCAAAAGAAAGCAGAGACACCGCATGGAATTTAAAAAAAGTCCGTCAAACTTGTCACTGTTGCTTCTTTATCCGAACCATACTATCAGATATGTTGATGAGGTAAAATTAATTAAATTCATTCTTCTTAATGCACCATATATGATGGAAAAGTACCATATGAATTAACCCTAAGATTTCAAAAATACATCTATTCATAATAAACTAAAATGTCCAATTACATTCGTATAGAAATAAAGTAACTTAAACCTAATCAAATTTACCCCGAACGTAAACGGTGCGTTTAATTTGGCGAATTAAGAAATTGATTTTCAGTGTACAGAGAGAGTGTAAGAGTTGATAGCAGATTCAGATCGAGATTGAAGTGAATTGGTTGGTCGTACTTGGTGGTTGCATCAAGCAACTCCACTTCTTACAATCAACCCTCTTTGCTTCAATTCAAATCCACCATCCAGGTATTCCCCCAATTCCATTTCCATAGATCCTTCAATTTTGCATTTTCATTCCTCAAATCTTCGATCAATTCACAAAAACTCTTAAACCCTAGCCACTGATTTTGAATTTCGCAGGTTTCAAAATCATACAACATCATACAAAATGAATTTCTTGATGCGTTCTTCAACACACGTACAAGCAGATAGAGATAATAAACCTTCATCGATTCCAGAACCTCGTGTTGATGCGCTTCCTCCTCCTTCTCCTCCCCCTGTTCAAGGCTCTCACTCTTTGGAGAGTTTATTGTCGGAAGATCCGTATGCTCGGTATAGTACAACAGTGGAGCAGTTTGAGGGAGAGATTGATGGGGATAATGGAGTTCATGATTTGAAAAATGATGCGAGTTTATTGGCTAAGCATTTGGATGTGTCTGAAGAAGAAGGATGGATTGCTATTCCTTATAGTATGTGTTACTTTTTGATTACTCACTAAACCCAATTAGTGTATTGGTGTTTTGTATTTGATTCTTTGAGTAGTGCATGTTAGATTTGTTAGAAAGTTTGATATGTTGTTGTTATATGTGCTATGTTTTGGTGTGTTATGTTCTAGAAAGAGGAGAGATCTTGGAATGAGATGGAATGAGATGAAAAAGATGGTTAATTTTGGTTCGATTAGAAAGAGGAGAGATCTTGGAATGAGATGAAAAAGATGGTTAATTTTGGTTCGATTAGAAAAAGATGGTTAATTTTGGTTCGACTAGAAACGCGGAATATGTAGCACCTACACCTCTGAAAAAAGACGTGTCCGTATCCGTGCGAGTGTCGGACACCTACACCGACACTTGTGATTGCATTTAATTCATTCTTTTTTTCAAATTATTACCAAGTGTCGCCGTGTCAGTGTCGGGATGGTGTTTGGGGTGTCCGTGCTTCATAGCGTGGAACCAAATGAGTTCGGGATTGTTGTTATCGTTTTGCTCTGTTTTCTTAACTTAACAATACCGGGGTTGACATGTTGGAGTTTGACTAAACTTCATAAATAATTTTTGTTATTTATTTGTGTTTTAGAGGGATTTGGATTCTTTGCAGTCGTGCATTCAGAGTTTGTTATCGGCTGTTAGATTAAGATCAGACTATGAGCTGTTTGATCAGACTATTGAGATCTATTTAAAAATTGATTGGTGAAGTCGGAATATGAGCTGTTTGATTTTCATCTAACGGCGGGTCAAGATCCTTCCTTGACTACGAGGAATCTGGGTTTGTTTTAGAGATAGAATGTTGTAGGACAGAAGATTAAAAAGAGGTGCATAACATTTTCATCATTCTACCGAAGACGGTAATACTAAGGAGGACTGAGCAAAACTGTTTGTCAAATTCTACTTCAGTGGCAACTGAGTTTTGTATGAGTGAAATTATGAGCACAAGATGATTTTGATTGGCATTCATTTTAGAGGGGTAGTGTTTATAATTTGAAGTTTGGGGAATAATTTTTTATTGTCTTTACTTTTACATTGTCTGTTCAGCTTGTTCTAACTTGATATGTTTGTTTCCATTTTTTTTAATAGAAGAGCTTCCTGAAGACTGGAATCACGTATCAGATATCCAATCCTTGCATCCTCTAGACCGTTCCTTTCTCTTTCCGGGTAAAATTCTTTCCTTCCTTGGAGCACTCTTTGTTCAAATATGTTATTTGGTCTACCAACTCATTCAGAAAGTTACATGGACATAATTTTAACTAATAACCCAGGTGAACAAGTTCATATTGTGGCATGCCTGTCTGCATGTAAGAATGACACAGAGATTATCACCCCCTTTAAAGTTGCTGCCTTGATGAGTAAGAGTGGCATAGGTCACAGCCCTAACAAAGAAAACGGGAATATCGAGCACAAAAATAAATCAGTAGCTGGAGAAGAGCATCTTAGTCCTAGTGTTCAAGATGAGAACAAGGAAAACCTGCCAAAGGCAAAGGCTGATCACCCAACAGATGTTTCTTCTGGTGAATCCCTTCTAAGAATGGAGGTTCATAAAAGACAGACTGCATCGTTGTTGGACAAATTCAAGAGTTCACACTTTTTTGTGAGGATTTGTGAGTCTGATGAGCCACTTTGGTCTAGACATGGTTCTTCAAAAAAATCCATCTCCTCTGAAACAAATGGCCAAAATATCTCGTCAATTGAAGTGAAAGAAACTGTAAAACACGAGTCTTCTATTAGTGCAGTTATTGATAGAGCAAATTTTGATGCAACTATTTCTGGTGGAGTGGCGAGAAATTCTGTAAAGTGTTGTGCCCTACCTAATGGAGACATAGTGGTATGTGCCATAGAATGTAGATAATACGATTAAGCATTTTCTTTAGCTGAGGTTTTTGTAATTCTCTTTAGTTCCACTGTCAGTTGGGGCATTATTTCCTGGTTCAATTTGGGACTGATTACAAATCATCCTCTTCTTCCCTTTTGATCACTTAAAATTTTCATTTTCCTTACATGCACACTTACTAGCAGCTTGGCAATCTTTTACTTAAAATATAAAATTCTTTGTAACTTTTAAATGTATCTGTATGTGTGGGCATGCACCAATGTCTTGTGTATATTAAGGTAGAAATTTTTAAATCTTAGATGCAAAACATGGAATCCAGTTCATTTGTCTATCCTGATTGTAAAACTCATAGATGAGGTTGTGCAATGGGATGTTGCATACTCAGCTCTGTTTTCTCTTGTAACTGCATTATCAACATTTAAAATCCTTATATTTCTCTAGGGAATTTGGAGCAAACAATTTCTATATGGTACTTGGCCCATTAGGGAGTATATTAACTTATCCAACTACCATTGTTAATTATTAATGAAATTTCTAGGACATATAGTTAGCTTCTTCAGTGAACATAAGCATTGGTTAAGTTTTGAATATATTTCATGGGCGTTTTCCATGTTTCTTTAATACTTAGAAAGATCTTTGTGAAGTATTCTTGTGAAACTCACGTGGATCAATAAATACATTTTTTATAACTTGATTTGTGGCAGATTTTGTCTTCAATACACAATCCTCCTAAATATGCTTGAATAATCTCATTTGCTCAGATTACTGATCTGATTCTATTTTCCTGTTTGGAAGGATCCAGGTTCTTTTACAGGTGAATGTTGGTGTTAATTTTCTTAGAGACCCTTGTATAGAAATTCTCCAATATGAAAAATATGAAGGGAAAATATTGTCTTCTGAGAACCAGGACAATTCACTTTATACAAATCAGGATCCATGTGGAGACCTATTGAAATGGATACTTCCATTAGATAATCTTCCCTCTGGGTCTCGCCCATTATCTCCTCTTTTGCCTACAAACTCCGGAACCAGTAGCACCTCTCAGAGGTACAATTCTTCACCCTCATCTGGCCCTCAGATATTCTCTTTTGGCAGCCATTTTAGAAGTTATTCCATGTCATCATTACCTCAAAATACTATTCCTCCGCCTGGTCCTTTGAAAGCAGCTAGTTCTAAGCCAGATTTTGACATTGATGAGTGGGATCAGATCTCATCTCAGAAGTTTTTAAAGAAAAAAAATGAGGCTGAAGAACTTTTATCTTTTCGAGGTGTCTCATTGGAGCGAGAAAGATTTTCTGTTTGTTGTGGATTGCAAGGTATCTATACCCCAGGAAGAAGGTGGAGAAGGAGACTTGAAATAATACAACCTGTAGAGATTCATTCTTTTGCCGCTGACTGCAATTCAGAGGATCTTCTGTGTGTTCAAATAAAGGTTTGAACTTTTGTACCTTTTTTTGAGGGTGGCGGAAAGGCCATTTATACTGTCAATTGTTGCTCGCTTCTGTTTTTTATTAATATTTTACAAGTTGTTCTTCAGAATGTTGCTCCTGTACATGCTCGGGATATTGTCATATTTATTGATGCCATTACCATTATATTTGAAGAAGCAACAAAAGCTGGACCACCAACATCATTACCATTTGCATGTACTGAAGCTGGAAACGACCATTCTTTACCGAATTTATCCCTCAGGTTGTTATTCTTATTATGTTTCTTAATATTGTTTGTATTGTTCCTTATTCGATATCATGCTACACCTAAACAGTTCTCTGTATTCTCTTGCCGAGTGATCCTAACCCTGCAAAAGAGGGGAAAATTGTTTCAAGATGCTGTGTAATCTATCCCCTTGCCCTCCTGCAAATTTGGGAGGAATGGTTATTTTAACTTTTGGCTAAGTAAGGGAGGAGGGTCCAGCTCTTCTAATTTACATGAATCATTTCCCCTCTTCTTTTGGTAAAAGTTGTTCCTTCCTATAGCGTCTTCCCCTGTTACCCCAATCCAAACATTAGCTTTACTGAAAAAGCTTTGCCAACTTTCCACTGCTGTTATTGTTCCAGGGATTTGGGTTGAATGATGTAGGATTAGGGTTATAGAATGCAAGAGTAATTTTAAAAAATATATTAAGATGAGCTGTGGTTTGAAATTATTAAGAGAGTCTGTTGGACAAGTATCATTTAATGTAATTGGCGTCTTTTCCGGCTAGAGGTAAGTATCAGCTTTGAGGGTGAGTTTTTGTGTTTAGACAAAATTTTATAAAAAGCTTTTTTTTTCTCTTTGAAAAAATTGTGTAAAACATTAAAAGAAAGGGTATACTTTTTTCAAGTATAAAAGGAAGAATGTATGTATTAATAGGAATTGATTTTTTTGTCTTTGAATGCTACCGACATATAAAGGACTTACTTTATTTTGATTAGTAACATGGTATAAATTAAAAAGAGGATGATGAGATATGGTTGGACCAGGCAAACGGAATTTACAATGAAATATTTTACTAGTATGAATTTATGCTGCTGTTCAGGCATTAAGACGAGGAAAGACTGAGTTCAGTCTTTAGTATTAAACTAGACTCATGGAACTAGATAAGTTAGAGATGGCACATGCAATAGGACATTTATTAGAATGTATAGTGCTTTACAACAGCTACAATTCTCTCTAATAAGAGCTGTAACTTGTAACATCTTGGTTCACTTGGTATTCCTACTATACCATGCGTATAATCCTTTGTATGAACAAATGGATAAACAGGATCAAGGTTTAAGGGGAGTGGGGTGTTAAGATAAAAGGCACAATTAGAGAAATAGGGAAAAATAGAAAGGTTTCAATCTGAGAATTTTATAGTTTAAGTTAAAGGGGAAACCCTTTGTAAGGGGCAATCTTTAGAGGGGATTCTTTCCTCCAGTTATCAGTAATACAAATAATAGGAAGATTTCATAATCTCAATAACTTCTAGTAATGTTCAATCATATGATATCATGAAGTTATGGGAACAAGTGATTGTAAGGAGACTAAGAAAAGAGACTCAAATTACCGATAATCAATTTGGTTTTATGTCTAGGAGGTCGACCATGGAGGTGATCTATCTACTATGTTGTGTGATGGAGCGGTATTGGATGGATAAAAAAGACTTGCATTTATTAGAGTATATGCTATAGTTAGTGTAGAGCAAGTAATGCTGCCAGACCAGCATTTGTAGCAGAGTTAGTTATCAGTCATAACTAATTATTAGAGTTAGTTATGCTGAGCTGTCTTGAATCTGTTAGCTCTAGCTATGTATAAATAGCATTGAACTTGTATCATTCCAGTTTGAGAAATATTCAGTACAAATCAATTCTTCTCTAGAATGTTCCATTTCTCATTCCAGTTTGAGAAATATTCAGTACAAATTCTTCTCTAGAATGTTCCATTTCTCAAACTCTATTAGGGCGCATTCAACAGATCGTGGATATCTTGGAATCCATTGGAGATTCGGTTTTACATCGTGATCATCTTGAAACGATTGTTGCTGGTTTACCTCAAGAGTACCAAGCCCTAGCTTCCATCATTCAATATCGTGATCAACCGTGTAAGATCATCGTTGCTGAAACGATGCTTCTCTCATGAAGCTCGTTTGGAACGATCTCCACGCGTCGCATCTCATGATGCGCTTGCTGTCAACCTTATGCAAGGATCTGTAAAGCAACCATCACTGGACTCGCCTTCGTCCACTGTTTCAGAGGCGACTGCTTAAAACACTGTCGCGGAAGCTCAATCGCAGTTCACCGGCAATCGCGGTGGTCATGGTGGCCGTTTCGCACGTGGTGGTGGTCACAATGGTGGTAGATCCAAGGTTCAGTGTCAGATCTGTGCTAAAACTGGTCATGATGCTAAGGTATGCTACTTCAGGCTCTCAGTTGCTGCCTCTGGCTCTAATCAAGGGCGTGCTCCAAGTGTAGCTACTACTCTTGTGACAAACATTGCTGTTCCTTGGTTCCAAGGTATTTCTCCAGCACAAGTACCACATCAATGGATGCCTCCTCCTCAATGGCGTGGTCCTGCACAAGGATTTCTTGCCACTCCTTCTGGCTCCAATCAACCTGTCAAGCAACCTCAAGCCTACATTGCAGGCACTGATGTTGCATCTTTGGCTGATAACTCTCAGTGGTATGCAGATTCTGGAGCTACGCATCATGTAACTAATTCTGCAGATCATTTTCTGGACAACATTTCTACTTCTGGATCAGAACAGGTCATGCTTGGCAATGGTCAAGGTCTGTCCATAACTTCCATTGGTAACACATCTTTTACACCTGCACACAAACCACATGTCACACTTGCCTTGAATCACCTGCTGTTAGTGCCTCAAATCTCAAAGAATTTGATTTCTATTAGTCAATTTGCACGTGACAACAAGGTATTCTTTGAGTTCCATCCTAATTACCATGTTGTTAAATCTCAGGCTACTTCTGAGATTCTGCTACAAGGAACACTTGGAAAAGATGGCCTCTACACTTTTGGCAACCTCACAGCTGCTTCTAATTCCATTAATAAGTCACCTCATGTGCACACACTCACAAGTTCTACTTTACCTGCAGTTTCTTTGAATGCTAGTACAAATAATGTAACTGGTCTAGGCTTGTTTGTATATTCTCAATGGCATAACAGATTGGGGCACCCTCATCATGAGGTCCTCAAAGCTGTTCTTACTAAGTATAACATTCCAATTCCACATCAATCCAAATTAGATTTCTGTACTGCTTCCTGTCTGGGTAAAGTTCATAGGTTGCCATCACATGCTTCATCTACACAATATCATGCTCCTTTTGAATTATTGTATGCAGATGTGTGGGGTCCAGCTCCTATGCCTTCTATTACTGGTTTCAAGTACTTGCTCACCATTGTGGATGCTTTCACTAGGTTTACTTGGGTTTTCCTAATGACTCAGAAATCAAAGGTATCTTCTATATTCAAACTGTTTATGGCACATCTCTCCACTCACTCCACTCAGTTTAACTATAAAATTAAGGCCTTACAAACTGATGGAGGTGGAGAATTTCAGCCTCTCACTACTGTTCTGGCAGCACAAGGTATTACTCATAGGTTTACTTGTCCTCACACACACCATCAAAATGGTGCTGTTGAGAGGAAACACAGACATGTTGTAGAAACAGGTCTTACACTTCTGGCACAAGAATCTCTTCCCTTTTTGGGACTATGCCTTTTAGGCAGTTGCTTACCTTATTAACGGGATGCCTACTCCTGTGCTCACTATGAAGTCCCCTTATCACATGCTATACAACACTTATCCTGACTATAAGGCTCTTAGAGCCTTTGGCTGTGCATGCTTTCCTCACCTTAGACCATATAACCCACATAAGTTTGCGTTCCATACCAAGGAATATGTTTTCCTTGGCTACTCACCCCATCACAAAGGATGCAAATGCATGGCTTCAAATGGGAAACTTTACATCTCCAAGGATGTAATCTTCAATGAGTCAAGATTTCCCTATATGCATCTGTTTCACAAAGGCACAAACTCTCCTCCTCCTCAACCTTCTATCTCAGTTCCAGTACCTCTATCTTTTTCATCCTCTACTTCACACAATCTTCCTACTACCACTGTTCTACCTAAACCAATTCCTCTAAATGCAGTTCCTATCTCTTCTCCTCCAACTACATCTAATTCTCATTTATCACCACCTTCTCCTTAGCCCTCTACCCCAACCACTCTCACTGGCTCCTCATCAACAAGCTCACCTTCTGTCTCCAGTTCAGAACATCTCCCCATAGCTCAACCATTTCCTCACAATACTCACTCTATTGTCACAAGATCTAAAGCTGGCATTGTGCAGCCAAGACTTCACCCTACTCTACTCTTGACTGAACTAGAACCAACCTCCTATAAAATGGCTCTCAAAGACTCTAAGTGGCTGGAGGCTATGAAAGCTGAATATAATACCCTCTTACACAATCAAACCTGGACTCTTACTACTCTTCCTCCAGGTAGAAAAGTCATAGGCTACAAATGGGTGTTCAGGGTTAAGCAAAATCCTGATGGTTGAGTTCTTAAATATAAGGCCAGACTGGTGGCCAAGGGGTTTCATCAAGTTCAGGGCTTTGATTTTCAGGAAACTTTTTCTCCAGTAGTAAAACTTGTTACAGTCAGGGTGGTTCTCACTAAAGGTGGCAATGAAATCCATTTAGATGATATCCATCCAATCCATCCAATAATTTATCCATCCAATCCATCCATAAGACAAAATAATTTAATGGATTTGATCCAATCCATCCACTAACTCATATGGATGGATTCAATCCATCCATCTCATTTTATAAATCCATTGGATATTATGTTGTCACTTATTAAATTAAGAATTTTTAAATTAATTTTTTGGATGGAAATATGTTAATGGATGGATTGGATGGATTTTATCTTTTAATGGATGGATTGGATTGAATTTTTATTAAGAGAGTTTAGTGGATTGTTAATGGATTAATGGATTGCTTTGATCCATCCATTAACAATCCAATCCATATCCATCTAATCCATCCATTTTGCCACCCCTAGTTCTCACCTTAACTCTTACAGGGCAGTGGCAAATCACTCAGCTGGATGTCAACAATGCCTTCTTAAATGGCATTCTCACCGAGGAGGTCTATATGCAACAACCTCCTAGGTTTGTGCAGACCAATTCCACATCAGTCTGCAAACTAAACAAAGCTATCTATGGTTTAAAACAAGCACCTCGAGCATGTTTTGAGAGACACACCAATGCTCTACACTCTCTTGGGTTTATGTCCAACAAATGTGACCCCTCTCTGTTTATTCTTGCCACCTCTACTTACACTATTTTCATGCTAGTGTATATAGATGACATAATTGTCACTGGGAGTTCACCCACCGATATTCAACATCTAGTGACTAAACTCAATGATCAGTTTTCTCTCAAACAGCTTGGTGACTTGAACTACTTTATGGGCATTGAGGTGTCCAAAACCTCTCAAGGAGGTCTCTTCTGTCTCAAACTAAATATATCAGGGATCTTCTAGCCATGACTAACATGAGTGAAGCCAAAAGTTTGCCTACTCCTATGGTTTCCAATCTCAAGCTTACAAAGGAAAGCTCTGACTACTTACAAGATCCTACTTACTATAGATCTGTGGTAGGAGCATTGCAATATGCCACTATCACAAGACCAGAGATCAGCTTTGCAGTCAACAAAGCTTGCCAATTCTTGTCACAGCCTATGCAGAGTCATTGGGTTGCAGTTAAAAGAGTTCTTAGATTTCTTAGAGGTACTCTTCATCATAGCTTACAGATGCTACTCTGCAGTTCTTCCCAGTCCCTTACAGTTACTGCATACTCTGATGCTGACTGGGGAAAGTCAACCTCAGGGTCATGCATATTTCTTGGTCCTAACCTAGTGTCATGGTGGTCTAAGAAACAAACTCTGGTAACTAGGTCCAACACTGAAGCTGAATATAGGAGCCTGGCCTGCACTGCATCAGAAGTTTTACATCCCTTCTTACAGAATTAAAGGCACCCTCCAAAAAGCCTATTCTCCTCTGTGACAATTTGAGCATTGTGGATCTTCCTCACAATCCAGTCCTCCATGCCAAAACTAAGCACATGGAGTTAGACATCTTTTTCTTAAGGGAAAAGGTGCTCAATAACACCTTGGTTGTCAAGCACATCTCAGCTGTCCTGCAAACTGCAAATATCCTAACAAAACCTCTCTCTGCTCTCAAGTTTCTCAGTCTCAGAGATCTGCTCAATGTTCTTGACAAATCTTCCCTCCAATGTCAACAAATGGCTCTCTCAAGGAGCAACACCATTTGAGGGGAAAATATTAGAGTATATGCTATAGTTAGTGTAGAGTAAGTAATGCTGCCAGGTTAGCATTTGTAACAGAGTTAGTTATCAGTCATAACTAACTATTATAGTTAGTTATGCTGAGCTGTCTTGAATCTGTTAGCTCTAGCTTTGTATAAATAGCATTGAACTTGTATCATTTCAGTTTGAGAAATATTCAATACAAATCAATTCTTCTCTAGAATGTTCCATTTCTCAAACTCTATTGGCATTTAGTTTTCATTGACGTTTAGAAGGCATATGATAGAGTGCCCAAAGAGATCTTGAGAAAAACTCTGGAGAAGAAAAGGGTTAGGATTGTCTTATATTCGAGCTATCCAAGATATGTATAAAAGAGTTTGGACTAGTATGAGGACACAAGGTGGAAAGACGGATGATTTTTCCATAACAATATGATTGCACCTAGGTTCAACACTAAGTCTTATCTTTTTACTTTAGTTTTGAATGTACTTACAAAAACACATCCAAGAGCTAGAACCACAATGCATGTTTTGACAAACGATATAGTTCTACTTGGAGAGTCGATAGAAGAGTTAAATGAGAGGTCGAAGACTTGGAGACTAGACATAGAAGCGTAAAGCTTTCACCTAAGCAAAAGTAAGACAAAGTATATGGAATGTAAGTTTAAGAAAAGGAAAGGTGCTTCTAACCTAGAGGTGAAAGTTGGAGATCATATCATACCACAGGTTAAAAATTTTGTATCCAAAGTACAAAACGATGGAGAAATAGAAGGAGACGTAAACCATCAAATTCAAATTGGGGTGTTTGAAATTGAGGAGGGTCTTAGGTGTTTTATGTGATACAAAAGTACCACTCAAATTAAAGGGAGATTTCTATCGGACAATGGTAAGACCAACGATATTGTATGTGATAGAACGTTAAGCGGTAAAGAACCGACACTAAAATAAATTATGGCAGAGGCGAGGATGTTGCATGGATGTAGGGTAAGATTAGATGAGATAAGATTAGAAATGACAATATTAGAGTGTGTTGTGGTAGTACACATGGTAAAAAAGATGGTGGAAAATTGACTTAGGTGGTTTGAGCATGTAGTGAGAAGACATGCGGACTCTGTAGTTAGAAGAGTAGATCAGATGGAGGGTAGTCAAACAACTAGAGGTAGGGGAAGACCTAGAAAAACCATAAGAGAAATTATTAGAAAAGATCTTGAGATTAACGAGTTGGATAAAAAAACGGTTTTTGATAGAACATAATGGCATAGTTTGATCCATATGTAGCTGATCCCACTTAATGGGGTTGTAGTTTGTTGCAATGTTCTATTATATCATATGTTCAACCATAACATATGTTCTATTGGATCTCAATAACTTCCAATAACTTGTTCAACCAGATCGAAATAACTTCCAATAACTTGTTCAACCAGATCGAAATAACTTCCAGTAACATATGTCATGAATCATATCTCTATCAAACTATTGACCTCTCTTTCTTAATAGTTTACCCTAATTTTTTATATTCATGTGCCTAAAAAAATGCCTCGATGAATGCCATGTTTATCTTTGTTTGTGGACCTAAATATTTTCCACTCATAATTGGGAAAGAAATTGTGTTTCACATACACATGGCTACGTATCTTCGGGTTGGATCGATCTGATTAGCGTTTATAAAGAGAATGTGAAATTCAGAATTTGGTTTATGTAGTTAAATCTACTATTCTTCATCTTATTTGAAGTTTCTAATTACAGGAGAGGCGAGGAGCATTCTTTTATCCTTAAACCTGCAACATCTGTTTGTAATCATCTAAAGGTTCTGGATGAAACTCCTCACTTTTCAAAGTTGCAATCTGGAAGCTCGGCATCAAAATCAAGTCTTTCTTCCAATAGTCTTGACAGAAGTAAGATTTCTTCTATTGACGATCAGTATGCAGTTATGGTATCATGTCGATGCAATTATACAAGTAAGCCTTTTATCCCCCTTGATTTGTTCTGCTGTACCAACAAATATAAAGATGTTAACTAGTGTTCTTTTCTCTCATTTTGTTCTTAATAAAGCATCAAAATTATTCTTTAAACAACCAACTAGTTGGCGTCCACGAATGTCGAGGGATATTATGATTTCTGTTGCATCTGAAATGTCAGGAGAGACTCCAGGACCTTATGAAAGAAATTCCCAACTTGCTGTGCAGGTCAATATATGTTTTAAGTTTTAACTATCTTGAGTGGGGATCTTTCATTAGTGCTCATATTTTGTTAGCTATGATTATTCTCCTACTAAAATTACAATTAGATTAATCTAAATGCCATTTCTTTGTCAGGTTTTAACTCTTCAAGCTTCGAATTTGACATCTGAAGATCTAACTTTGACAGTGCTTGCTCCAGCCTCTTTTATTTCTCCCCCTTCAGTGGTCTCACTGAGTTCTCCAGCCACTCCATCGAGTCCTTTTATTGGTTTCACAGAATTTTTGGGAAGGATAAATGACGATGGCAGACCTCAAACAGTTTCTAAGAATGATGATGTCATCCCTAATTCTGGCGTGAGTTGTACACATCTGTGGCTCCAGAGTAGAGTTCCACTGGGGTAATACATTATGTCTTGTTTTTATTTTTGTGGTTTTGTTTAAAGTTTAAATGGGCACTGATCAATTTAAAACCATGTATTCTCCACATCAGATGCATCCCATCTCAATCCACATCCACTATTAAGCTTGAGCTACTCCCGTTGACTGATGGCACAATCACGCTTGACTCTCTGCAAATTGATGTCAAAGAAAAAGGTATGGATCACCACACATTTGGATGATGCCTTTTCGTGTTAGAAAAATAGACGTTTGGGAAATTGTACCCAGTGAGTTGTTGGTCCCTGAATTATGCAGTACAATGTATTATCATGGACACAATCACTCTTGAAGCCAGCCCAGCCTGTATCAAAATAATTTACTTTCGCTTTGACCATTTTTTATATAGCCCCATGACTCGATTTTTTTCTTCCATATATCTCAAGATATTAAAAACTGCATCCTTATGAGAACTTTGGAGGGATGAAATGAATTAATTGATGACACTTCCTGGGTTGGAAATGTTTAGACATATAAGTTAGATGGTTAAATCACCAATACCATTTAAACTAGTGGGAATTTCTGGATCAGATTTTAACTGCCATCATCTGGAGCGTGTTTAAGATTTGGAACCATTGAAATACTCCCTCCGTTTTAAAATGACTGTCGTTTAAGATTTTTTTACACAGATTAAGGAATGCAATAATATTGTCATAAGATATTACACTTTTACTAAATTAACTTATAAAAATATTGTAAGTAGTGTACAGGGTAATAATTAAATGATACATTGGAAAAATTGTAATCATTGCTACACTAAAAAGTAAGAATGACACTCATTTTAAAACAAATTTTGTTTTGCTAAAACGACACTCGTTTTAAAACGGAGGAAGTATCAAAAAGTATAGCTCCCCACATGCTAACCTCAGAAGGAGATTCTGAAAATTCTCATTTTACTTCTAAATTTCTCATGAACTAGTACCTAGATCCTTGTTCTGGAATCTGGTTCCCCACATACTAACCTAACCTCAGTGGCTAGCATATTGTGTCTACGAAGGTTTCTTTTGGAATTTTTGGGGAAAAGGGGAAAATAGATGGACTATTAAAAGCTCTACCAATACTTCATATTTGGCCAATCACTTATCTGCATCACAAATAAATTTACGACTTAAATGCATCAAATTTTAGGCATGCATATTATATGATATGGTCTTGTATTGGTCCTCCCCGGCTGTGATATTTCCTTGCAGAGTGTCATTTGGGTCCATCCTCTGTTATTTATTCTGCATTATAATTTGTTTCCTGCTCTCTAGTCATTACTTTATGTATTTCCATGTGCAAACTGCAAAGCATGTTTTTACATATATATATCACTCAAATATTTTTACCATGTTTGGTTTATCATACATTCTGGTTTTAAACAGGTGTTACCTACATTCCTGAGTGTACACTAAAGATAAATGCAACTTCTAGCATTTCTAAGGGGATTATTTAATATAGACAAGCGGGTTGAATTTCATTGAACATGTCATCTGGGGCTGTAGAGGCAAAATGGAATGATTTCTTTGCTTGCATTTTAGAACTGCGCTTGCGACTTGCTCCCATTGGCATGAAAGTATCTTCTAGAGCGTTGTGATTGAGTTGGTGTGTGATTTGTTTGCTTGAATTTTAGAACTGCAGTTGCAACTTTCTCCCAGTGGCACGAATGTATCTTCCCTTACTAGAGCATTGTGATGGAGTTGGTTTGTGGATTTATTTAGAAACAGAGCTTCACTTGTGTATAAACCACGAGGTTAAGATAGATGATTGTTTCATACCCCTTATAAGGGGAAGAATGTAATCTTTATAGATAAATCTATTTTTTATGAAGATGTACGTATGTGACTTCATATTTAAGGCAATGTGGCATCTGGATCCTGGCAGTGGCCCCTGCAATTTATTGTCTTTCCATGTTTCAATTGACATCAGGGAAAGGAAAGCATTGTAACATGGATTTTATTTTATTCACATTAATACACATGGTTGATGTGACTCAAGTGATTTGCTTTCTGTGTCTGCTTATTTTATGGAGTAAATATTTTAACAATGCCCTACAATATCTGAGAAGTTAGTCTTGTAATAAAATATCTGATTCTTATGCATGGGAAAAATGGTTCCTTCCAGCATTTTAGCCATGTTTTCCCCAAAATTGTTAGATATATACCCAAACAAAAGTCAATTTGTCTGATAAGGTGTTGACAAGAATTAAGAAAAGGCTCATTGATGTAATGTACTTGGGTTGGAGACATGGAGCCATTCTCTTACAAATGTCTAGAATAAATTCATAATTGTTTTTTACCTGAATTCTTTCTATGGCGAGAAATCAAAGTATTATGCTTACCCTTGTGCAATGTAAATTTAATTCATTAACGATTTAGTAAATGTATCCTAATTATGCTTGAAATTGGGAGTAAATATAACTCATTAACGATTTAGTAAATTGGGAGTATGAATGACAATCTTAACAACAGAATATGACAAGTTTCTCTTTCTGTTAGATTGGGAGTATGAATGACAGTCTTAACAACAAAATATGACAAGTTTCTCTTTCTGTTAGAGTATATGACTCTGATATCATGTTAAAAAATGTAGTGATATCATGTTAAGAAATGTTGTTGGACTTAACTCATCTCTATTGCATTTCTTAACACTTTCATTCTTTATTGCTTTATTTTAAAATTAAAAGTCAATTAAATTTAATGTTATAAATGAGAAAACATTTATTTTACTCTATATTTAAGTCCTTGTAAAATTTTGAGTAAAATTACTCCTTGTAAATGAAATATGTCATATATAACTAAATACTATAGGAAGACCGAGTTACACACCACACGATGAGGTAATGTATATACTAGTTATCTCCATGCTTCAGCTTCACACATGATCGATCAGAAGAGAAAAAGAAACAAACACATTATATTACACTATCTTTGCTAGCAATATTCACACACCAACATCTCTATTTGAGTGAAATTCATATCAAATCCTACTATTTTATTTGAAATCCATTCTCAAAGTGATGGAAAGATTGTGTTGCTATCAAGAAAATTTCATTCTATAGACAAGACGTCTATAGACGAGACCGGATGAACACTCTTTTCCCATTTTCTTGCATCAGATTAATTCCCTTAAAGCCATTATCATCCATTTTATTTGGAGGCTGTGAATCTTCAACAAGTTTGTTTGATGTTTTGTACTGCTGCTTCATATTATTCATCTCTTCCTTCACTTCCTCCACTTTTGTTTCAAAAAGGTGTTTCTTGGTCTTTAATGGTGTCGACATCGGTATATTTATCAGTCCTTCTCGCACCATCTTATCTTCATGCTTCCTACCTGCAATAATCATAGTAACAATATTATGTGAAAAGTAATAGCATTTAATTGAAAATGATCAACTTAGGTTGTGTGGACATGGAGGAGATTTTAGGTTTCACAGTAAAGAGAGTAAATTAAATAGAGGTAGTCCAATTACTAAAGGTAGAGAAAGAACAAGAACAACCAAGGAAAAGCTATATTGTTTAAATAAAAATATGATCAATAAAAACACATTATAAAATCGTTTGATCTATATACCTGACCCTTTGTGTCGTCAAATATGCATACACACGTTAAAATTTGTTTGAATCTCAATTCTCATATGTTGATTTTTCATTCAACAGATATAACTCATCAGTTTTTCTTCTCAAGTACACTATTGATTTTAGAGGTGCTAAATCCCATCATGAAAGTATCGAAAAAATAAATGACAAGGACGATTATTAAAAAAATAAGATAATGAAAAGGAGCACTGCATCATAAAAAAAAGGGACAAGTTGCCTAAGAGTTGTCCTCTTACCCATATGCTCAGAATTGTAAGATAATTTTAAAAATATGGAACATGTTAATACATACAACAAAACATTTACACAATCTTCAAATCAAATTAGATAAACTTCTTCAGGACTTATAACCAAAGAGAGGTTGAAAAGGTTTTACAGCGACTTATAAGTTATACCTTATAGTTAATTTTTACAAAACTCTCTCATCTTCTTCTCCATAAGCATTTGTAAGAGTTTTTCCTTGAGAAGGGTCAGGGTTTGATCCCTGCTGCTAACAAATACCTCTTTCCCAAACAAATTATCTACTAAAATTTCCTATCAAAATAAAAAATTTATACTTTTGTGCCTTTCATAATCTATCTCACTCAACTTATTTAAATTACATATTCCAGGCCAAACTTTGGGCTGGCCTAAGCCTACTTATTATTGTTGAATGTTTGATCTTAGCCTACTATCACTTCATTCTAATAGAAAATGGTTATACTTTCAAACAATATATGATATCATCACAAATCCAGAGCCGTCTCAAGTTTTTGAAGGTCCTATGTAGGTTAACTACAATTTAACCATAACAAAACAAATAGAGGTCCTATTACCGTGACAATATTTGATGAGGTCTTATTTTAACCACCCTGTGTGGCCTCGCCCTCAAAGACAGACTTGACAAATCAAGACATTTTTTATTCTAACCCTAAACCTCTATCTCTCAATCGCCTACTGACTTGGGCGTGAGAACATTGAAGACTACACAGCTGGGGAGGGCAGCATAGCTGCCATGCACTCGATAGTCTTCTTCCACCATCTCTTGCAGTTACTAAATCTTTAATTTCAGGTTTATAACAGAACAACATAAAACTTTTGTAAATTAAAATCCAAAAAACTAATTTTAAATTAAAAATCTAATACATGATTAATCTAAATAGAAAGACAAAAACTAACAACGATATAACTATATAACATGCAATCATACAATTCCTAACTAAGACGATTCCAATATTCTGAAAATACAAACCGAATATGATCCATTTCTTTATCAAAAGAATGATCCCGAAACAAAACGGAAAAAAAATTTCGATTAGATCGAGTAAGAAAGAAAAACCGACCAGGGATGATTTTGAGGTAGCCGTCGATGGCGGAGTCCACGGCGAACTTGACGAAGTCTGCAAGGATTTGGCTTAACGAGTGGCGGCCAGCAAGGTTGGACACGGCGGTGGACATTCCGGCGATGAGTATCTTTCGATTCCGATAGGATTTTAATCGGGCAAAGCTAGGTGTGAGTGGTTGCTTGGCTTTCAATTCTTTACTTGTTCTTGGCCTCTTTGGTGTATAACATCTTGTTAGCAAGACCCTTTAAGTGAAACTTTAAGGGAAATGCTGACCAGTGCTCTCAGAGCACTTTTTAAAATTTTAAATAGTAAGTTTTTATAAAAGTATGTGCAATGATGTGTAATAATGTGCATTGAAAATTGAAGTGTTTGAATTTTTTAAAGAATAATTTCTTAATATAGAATGTTTAAATAGTGCCCTGAGGGCACTGGTTAGCAATACTCTATTTTTAATTGTCGTTTATACTTTCAACTAAATAAATAAATTGTTCTAAAATAATTAGAGGAGGAACATCATGAGTTCCCTAAAGGCCAACACATCATAAGATATTACATACTTTCTCATATGTATTTGACGTTAGTGCCATATGGAAATTCCTGAAGGCCAACACATCATAAGATATTAGAGGAGGAACATGTTAAATAGACCACGTTGTGGATGTCTTGTCTACATACTGTTATACGGTCACTATACTCGAAGGTGTCATCGCTAAAGGAAAGGTGCGTAAAGGCATCCCTATTTGGAACTTGATACACACAACATTAATAAAGGCACTATATGGTCTTCATTATATGAGGAAAATGAGGACGATGGGGTGCGAAATATTAAGTTGTCAGACTCTTATATAGACCACTTGCATTTTTGTAAACATTTTGAGTTGTATTTATGACATTTGTCTTAAGAGCTTCTAATGAATATCTTGTCAAAAATATGCGACTTATGTATGATAATTGAGTTTGTGTATGATATATCGTTTTATGCGTTACAAACGCGTGACTTATTCATATAAACTATATTGGTGTAAATAAAACATGGTTACAACAATGCATTGTTATGTATGTAAATAAAATAAATGATGTTTAAGTTAGTGGTTTGTCTGAAGAGTATTATCCGAACAAACCATGTGTGCAAAATATATTGTAAGACATGGTTATTAGTTTATTAATAGGGGTTTGTCCAAAAAGTTATCCGGATAAACCCCGACTTAAAAGCACATAAGAGATACAAGGTTATATTTGAGTTATGGGTTTGTATGGAGAGTATTATTAGGAGAAACCCTAGGTGTAAAAACTAATGCCAAACATGGTTATTAATTTCCATCAGAGGTTTACTGGAGTGTTTTATTCGGATAAACACTACGTGCAAAATAAAATGTCAAATATGGTTAGAAATTTTATTTTAGTGGTTTCTTGATAGGTTATCATGTACATCCACTTTTTGATGTCTATCTTCATACTATAATAAAATTTCATAAATCTCCTTCCATTTTCCATAATAGAAATATTTAATTTACCATCCTTGATCACACGATCATCATCAAACCGAAGGATTTTTCAGTGTGTTTACTGTCGTACCTCGAAAAATACGATCTTCACGATGCGCAAAACTAGGGTTTGCACGATCACATATGGGCTTATGAGAGTCGTCACCGAACTTTATATATTCCGCAAAGGGAAAGGGAAAATATCAAGAAAACCCACAAGGACAAAGGATAGGGTATGGTCATCGCAACCATGTTGAGTTCAGAAGTCGGTTATGTAAGAAGAAGGTACTAACACTCCCTATATCCATCGTACTCGATGAGAACCGTCTAAGTGATCTGGGTATTCATAGTTCCCTTAAAAGGGATTGAGGAACCATTAACTGTTGCCCAAAGTTTGAGGGGGAAAAAGGTTTGTCGATTGATTTTAGGAGAAAATACGAGTCGTCATCTTAAGTGAGAATACTCGACTTAACCACCACAATTTGTAGGAAATGGTCTTTGCGTCACATTGAGAGAAGGGCTCCAAACTCGGATTTATCGACGAGTATGCCACATACCTCTCTCAAGAGGAAAAGATTCTACATCTCTCGATATTATTATGGGACAGGAGAATTATATCTCGACTATCAAGATGAATCACTTCTAATTCTCTTGTGGGGAGAATAGATGATTGAATTGTATTATGACGTTCATCTAAGTTGAAAAAGATCTTAAGGGAAGCTACCCTATCTTAAGGTGTAAGGACTAAATCCTAAACTGATCGACTTGAAAACTCAAGGATCAAGCGGGGGAATAATTACGCACATGAGATGCATTGTATATGAATTATGAGTTCATATACAGATTCTTCCATTGGACGTAACATGTGAATATCATGGAGATGCAAGAGCTCATTGATCCATTATTTTCAAACTCTCGGAGAGATTCGTCGAATCTCAACATAACTGCACCTGATTGGTTGTATTATGCATAACTGAGTCTTCGAAAACCCGCTCTTAAAAATGGTTAGACTTGAGCAAATGAGCAACCTGGAAACAACTTTCCCCTATTCATCAGGATCTTCAAGTTTCAAAGGACCGAAATTATCATCGATGTCTATATGCAAACTTTCTATGATATCAAACAGAGTTAGCAAGCCAAAAATGTTAATTCCGAAACTACTAATGTAACACACATGTTTGTCTTGAAGTTTTTATTTATTTATTGAAAATATATCACAATAACTTGTGGCCGGATCACTAGTTAGGATGTGAATTAATTTTATAAAGCCAACATCAAATTGAGCATAGCTCATATGAGTCAGAGAACGTTATTTCGTTGGGTATGCTTTCGAAATAAACCCTGCTTCAATTAGGACTTTTGAGGGTTGTATTAGGGCTTAGTTTACGATTTGTAAAACAAAGGAATAAGGGTCAAAGTTAATTTGTACCCACCCATTATTCGTGATGCTCAACCTTTTTGAAAGCTTTATCCGAAAGTTGCACTGCCCCAGGTTAAAGATGAGGTTTTTTATTATTTGGAGAAGGAAAAAGAACAAATCTTGCCTCAAAGCTCAAAGGGGTAAAAAGGGGTTACCTTCTTTATATCTCTAGTGTTTTGGGATTTGAAACAATGCCTTACATCATCAGTAGAGTTTTATTCAAAAGCATACAGCAAGAGACCTTGCATTTTACTTCGTCATCCTCCTTCCATTTCTTCATCAAAGTGAGAAAAAGTTGGGTAAAATTGACATTATAAATCATGAAAAAACATTTTACGAGTGAATACGAATGAATTTCTTCAAGACAAACATTTTTATTGCATTAATTATTCAAAATAACAAGTTCTTACATATCGACTATGCTTTTATAATCAAAGAAATAGAATACATATAAGCAAGCAAAATAAACAGTTTGATGAGCCCTTCTCTTGATTTCTGGAGTTTTCACATACATCAGCATAACGGTGTTCCATTCACGACTGAGCTTCCTCCTTCGAAAGTTAGCGCTTCATCACTTATCATTTCCTAAACTTTTTCTTAGAAGACTTGGCACTCCTCAATTGAATTCCCCTCTACTCCATCATGAAATTCACAGCTGGCGTCTGGATTGAACCAAGGTGGGCGAGACTTCATGGTCCTAGTCTTTCTGCGCGTCATTACTGAGTTTCGGGTGAAATAAGACCATAGTTGACTATAAGTCAATGGTATTGGATCAAACTGGTGCATTTTTTCTCTCGGAATACTCAGAGGTCTCCGTTGATTCTGAAGTTGATCCTAAGAATTCGACCTTCGCCACATGTATGGAAATCTATGAGGTATTCGCTGCTTATGCTGAACAGGCGCTGCATACCAATGTTAATGATAAGGTATTGGAACTGGAGCTGGAAGGATTTGAGAGGAATCCCAAATTGCGTTAATATCAACACTTCCTTCCTCTTGGGAATCACTAACTGACTTTCCTTCATTAGCTTGGCTATTTGGGTCATCTCGGATTCTTCCATTTTTGAATGCGCTCTCGATGTTTACTCCGACTTCCGCAATTTTGGAGAATTCTAATGGCACAACGCCTACTATCCTATCATAATAAGGGCCCGACATCGTTCTTAGAAACATCATGGTTAATTCTTTCTCTCGAAGCAGTGGATGGACTTGAGCTGCCAATTCTTTCCATCGTTGCGCGTACTCCCTGAAGGATTCATTGTCATTCTTACTCATGCTCACCAGTTGATCACTGTCTGGAGCCATGTTTAAATTATAATTATATTGCTTCACAAAGGCATCAGCTAAATCTTCCCAAGACTGAATACGGTTCCCTTGTAGCTTCATATACCATATCAAGGATGCCCCACATAAACTTTCTTGAAAGCAGTGAATCATCAGCTTGTCGTTGTCAATATAAGCAGTCATATTTCGACAAAACATTGTCAAATGGTATCTTGGACAAATAACACCCTTGTATACTTCAAAGAAAGGCATCTTGAACTTTGGAGGAATGACTACTCCTGGAACTAGACACAGGTCATGAGCCTTAAGACCAGATGCATCAGCTTCTTTCATCATCCTCAATTGTTCCTCGAGATCATGAAATCCTTTCTCAACTTTTGCAATTCTAGGATCGTCCACCTTCATCTCAGTATGAACATTCTAAGGATTTGATATACACCGTGGAAACTGGGAATCTCTTTCATCAACTTGAACAACCAGGTTATCTTGCAGAGGTTGAGATTGTGTAGGAACATCCACTTGTTGAGCAATGTCATCAGAAGGAAGATCAAATATCAGATTAATTATCACTTTGAAGCCAGTCATGGGATCCATATCCTTCGTTCTCCTTACTATCCTTTAGTAATACTTCAAACTTGGTCAGATGGTCAAGATGTCAGCTGACGAGACAAAGGCAGAAGGTCGGATGAGTATAGCAGGGAAAGGACGCATGCACATGTAAATGCTAAATGAGGGATGCTATGAAAAATGTAGAATGCAGATGAACATTTTCATGGAACCCGTGTATTTATAAACATCACAAAATGCCAAAGAAAACTTATTTATTATTTTTGATAACGGATTACAAGTAATATTCTTAAAAGAGTCATGACATAACAACTAAATAAAAGCTAATAAAGTCCTAAGAAAGTCTTGCATGTGCTT